ATGACTTGCTGTCGCTAACGCAATGACAAAATATTTAGCCATCGCAACTAAATATTAGCTGTCCATATTTTACAATTGAAATTCATAGCGAATGCTTGCATTAGTGCGCACCGAGTGCACACTAAGCCTTGTTTATAGTCATTTCTTATATTTAATTGAAACCAAACTTCTTGTTGATCCAACTGGCAATATGATTAATTAAATGTTACATTTGCTAGACGTTTCGACCCAAGTATCAGGTCCTTATCAAGTAACCGAAACTGCAAACCCACAGGTCACAATTTTTTGTAGGCGGTAAGAAATTACAAATTACAAGAGTGTACATATGTGAAAGTTACCTCGTGCACAGACGATCGCAGAGCATAAATTATAGCAGACTCGCAGGTCATTGTCAACGCGGGAAATCGTCAGAAAAATTATTTTAACGCAAGTGAGCACGTTCAACGCAAAGTCCCGAGTTGAACTCTTATATTTAACTTTGTCTCAAATACACGTTCAAAGAGTACTTAGCCAAAAAATGATCCGCGTGGACGCTGAACAAATCATTTTACTGGCTGAGAAATATTTCAGGAGATATTTCAGACCGTCGCTAAATATAAGAATTGACTGTAAACGAGCTTTAGTGTGCACTCGGTGCGCACTAGTGCAAGCAACCGAATTCGCATACTAGGGATACTAGGTACTTTTGTTATCAACATCAACGCTTGAGCATTTTATTCGAAAGAACATTAATTCTCCAAATTGAAGAAAGAATCCGTCATCCAAATTAAGTAAAAGGATTCTGCGACACTCTGTATACTCTGTAGATACAGGCATGCGGATGTGTCGGGCAAGGTGTTTCTTTCGGTGTAGCTCGTGCCGTGCTTTTAATGAAGAGGCCACGGCGGAGTGTGACGATGCGTGTTCCGCAAAACAGGAACTATACTTTATTTCTGGTTTCTTCATGCATCATGCATAATGCAAAAGCGTTGCGCCGTACCTACCGATCAGTTATCAATGTTCAATTCGACCTGCACGATCATTCCGCGTTTTAGGAAAGTGCACGAGAAGCGAGACTTGTACATGACGAGGTCATAATTAACTTGTACACTCTTTTTATTTAATTTCATTTATCTTTCGTTTGGAACACTCGCGTAAAGACGCCTTTCTGTACTTGACAGCCATTTACTTGCCCGATGTAATTGCATCGTGCGAGTTATCGAAATGTTCATCCTTGCTCCTTTTGATCCCGTTTGACATTCTCGTCGAATAACCACATAACCATATAAACTGAAAGCGATTGTGTAGCCAAGACCCACATCATTCACTATGTCAGCCTTGTGATCCTCCGCTGCATAATAGTCTATGAAACAGCATGCACATATTATACATACGTTCATGTCATCAACTTTTTCACACCTTGAGCGTCAATCAAAGACTAGACAGTTACTTCAATTAACTAAGTCGGCCCGAGAGAGGACGTTAGAAGATAGACAGACGGTTGAAATGTATCGCGAAATAGTAGCTACGTTATATATAATAGAAGCGAGTTTATTAAAAGTAAAGAACAGGTTCGCCTAATGGTAAAAAGCTGTATTTACGTGCCGTTTTCTTACATTTTATAAAGAAAACTTACGTTATCAACGATACCGTCACTGCACGCTCGAAAGATTGATTGAGTAAATATTATGCTGACGAAGCAGATGGCTAAAAAAAATGGAAACGTTCAATTGTTACTTTTTCGTTCGCGCGAATTTCCGGGGTGAAGAGTTTCTTCATTGTCCGTTTGATAATTAATAGACAGCCATAACGGTATAATTTATTTTATAATTCATATCCCTGCCGCATGCGAGTGCATCGTTCGACGGGACTGAGATTACCATGAAAGGAGAGTAATCTTTAATTGTGAAAAAAAAAACATTCTTCGTGCCGGGTGAATAGAGGCGGCGTATTCACTGTATTCATCTCGCAGCGTTTGATCGACGTGGCGGTGGAATATCGAGCTTGATCGGGTAATCCCGGACGGTTTACAGCGCGATAGGCTTGTTAAAAAGTCAGGCGTGGTGTACGATTAATAAAAAGGCATGTCTCTGTTTTCGTCCAAGTCATTCGGCGTAGCCGAATACTTCTACAACGTATAGTGGAGTAACGGGATCGCGAACAGAAGGGCACGTGTGCGGAAAGTGACTAATTGTAATCTAATTGTAAGAGTAAAGAGAATAATCGAACTGTGAGAAGTGAAATTTTACTTTTGCAGAGACTGATTGACCTGTTGACGCGGATAATACACAGTAAAAATTAGTGTATTCAAATGTCAAAATTTTCTTGTGTTACCAAGATTTGATTTCTACTTCAATGTAAAGTTAACATAAAACGTATGTGTTATTATTTTCGTAACACTTTTATGTGTTATATTTATGTTGACATAAATAGTCTTTTAGTTGAAATAATTTTTAAGAAATGTTATTACATGTTTTGGTTGATTTTGTGAAATAGTTGTGTTAAAAGAACTCAAAATAATATTCAATTTTTAAGTAACTTGACACTTTATGTACGTTATTTAAAAATTGAATATTATTTTGAGTTCTTTTAACACAACTATTTCACAAAATCAACCGAAACATGTATGTCGACATTTCTTAAAAATTATTTCAACTATTCTAATTTGTAAATATTCGTACGCGTTACTTATCCTGTTTATTTTTATTTTATCGCACTTAAGATTAAAAGAACATAAACATAAATGTGATGTAAGTATAATGTTGATTAATTAACATTTATAATTTGTCAAAAAGTAACTCACGCCATAAATGTTATTTTAACATTTAATATGTAAAAATCTTAACATTAACATTGTATATTTTACTGTGTATACACGGAGAGAAGTTTCTCTTAAAATTTATCCTGAAAATCATGTGATCGTGGGACATTTGGAAGAATTTTACTAGTCAAATGTATGGCAAAATTAAAAAAAACCCTCATAAAATTCTTCCAAATGCCATGTGCCACAATCACATGATTTTCAGGATCAATTTTAAGAGAAAATTGCGTGTACACAAGGGAAACGTGTATCGGTGACTCCAGAATGATTAAGTAAAATCAGATTCGTCTTCGTTATATAAAACATTTGTTTCCATAGAACAGAGAGACGTCGCACATAGGTGGGCGAAGCAAAAAGGAAATTTTGTCGGCGCAGGTAGGATTTCCTTCGCGAACTAATTCCGACGACACGTCTAAAACATATGGCATCGGTTCAGGCTGTCGTACACCTCGCGTATTCCCGCACACGTACACGCTCAGCTCCGCGCGGCAGGGTTACGTAAGATTGTGCCAGCACGTCACGTGCATGTACCGTGCATGTGTGTGCGGATGCTGAGACAAAAAAGATACCGCATGTGCAATCCTAGTGGTCGCGCGTGCGCGCACCGGTATACGCGCCGCAGGACGACGAAGCTGCCTTGCCGCTGCGGTTCTATGCATCGCAGCGAGGAGGCAAAAGAAACGATGATTACGAAACGGCGAGTGTTCTTTTTCTTTTCTTTTTCCTTCGTCTTCGCCGCCGTGTTCTAACCCGGCAGCGCGGAGCGATGATGCGAAGCATCGGATTAGACTCAGGCATGCTTTTGCGCATCGCGGTTGCGAAATATATTTCCAAGTCGATAATCGGGCGACGGCATCTCCACGAAATCGTTCGCGGTCCTACTTCATGACGATTTCACGGATTCATCTAAAAGTTGGAATAAACATTGCAGGAATGACGGATATAATAGGCGATTTTTGGCGGAAACGGCCGTTGGTTTCAATATCCGATAGAAAAATTCATTTTATTAAAATAAATTTTCCTATTGTATATCTTTAGCGTCTTTCTTCAGGTGTAAAGGCATTCATGACGCTAATTGTGAGTGTACACTATTTCATGGATTCGTCTGAAAGTTCGAGCGAACATTGCAGGAATGATGGATATAATAGGCGATTTTTGGCGAAAACGGCCGTTGATTTCAATATCCGATTCATTTTATTAAAATAAATTTTCCTATTGGATATCTTTAGCGTCTTCTTCAGATAGTAGAGGCATTCATGGCGCTGAGTGTACACTCCGGTACACTATGTACCGAACAGTCGCCAAAAATCACCGAATAACGTTAACTTTTACGGCAGCAACGTGCATCAACCGTAACTCGTGTCGATATGTTATAAATATTTCAATTTACTGCGCGTGGCCGCATTATGAGCGAGATGATTTATGTAAAAAGAGTGTTATGATTAATATCTTGCATGTGTATTCAAATCTTCTGATCCGCCTCAAGAAGTTATTTATCGTTATATAAATGCATAAATAACAGCGGTTTAAAGAAAAATAGGACATGTAATCCTGTGTGACAAGTCATACTTGCGGAAACGTAAATACGGTATAAATGCTGATAATCATTTAATAAGTATTCAGCGTGATATATAATAAACACGTACATACTGCTCCGTCGCAATATCTTTTTGTCGCCGCGAAGTTCCCCCTTTATCTTCCTCGCTTATCCAATACCTTCAGAAAGTTGACGGAAGTTACCTTCACTATTATGATAAAACGAAGGACGACGGCTCAATTAATATTGATAAGATAATTTATATTCGTTATCGTTGGAATTTTGAAACAGCCAAGTCCGACGTCGCTGGGCAAAAGCATAGAAGTGTAAAAAAAAAAACTTGCTACTTTTTAAAAATTAAACTTGAATTAATTTGGCGTTAATCTGTACTGCATGTATCGGTAATGCAGTAGTGTAATGTATGACATACTGTTGCCAATTTTTATAATATACCTTACTTTAATACTGACTGATGTATAAACTTATCACCTAAGTTCAGGTGACGGCTCACATTGCCCCCATCATTGTAACGATTAACATCAAGTTAATTTAAGTTTAGTTTTAATATTGTTGTTATTGGAGCCCTATTTTATATTTTAATTACTACTCTTTGTTCACGCGCGTGAAAATCTGTCTCTGACGGCCGTCTCTTTCTTCTTGCAGGTGAAAATCTGGTTCCAAAACAGAAGGAGTAAGTACAAGAAGATGATGAAAGCGGCGCAGCAGGGCGGGGGTGGCGGCGGTGGCCAACACGGCAGTCTCCTGGCGGGTGGGACCGCTCTACCTGGAGGACCATCCCCTCAACCCGGTCAACCCGGAAGTCTCATGCAAGGAGGTGAGTCCCGGTTGCATACATGAGATGCGCACCCGCGTGTGAATTTTTAAATGAAAAAATATTCACGAAAGAAAACTCCCTCCGTGTCTCGTCGCGCACTTTAATTGGCATCTTGGAGGCGCGCTCGATCGATTCACCGTCGATCAATCGAATCGTTCTCACGATCGACCGGTCTGTTTTCGTAAACGCGATCACTCGCGCATTTTTAATTGGACGAGCGTCCACCGGCGTTAATTGAATGTCACTGGTGACTGAGCGTGCGCGATGATTGCGCGCTCCTGACGGGACTGCTCCGTCACTTTGCCGCATCGCCGTCGCAATCTCCGCGAGCACGCGGACCGCTTGGTAATTACAATACTAATAATCCGGCGCAATTCTCGCGGTCTGCATTTTTTATCGCGCCTTTGCCACTACCCGACGACGACGAAGCCGCTCGCCTCACCGCTGCCTTCTTTCCGCGACTAACGGTAATCTAGAATCTGCCTAGCGAGTGATTTATTCGGAAATGCGCCACGAGAGAGACACGGCCGCGGTGTAATTAACCCCATCTTGAGAAATTTCTCTTGCTAGGAATGCCGCTCTTTCATAACGAAGTTCAGCGCGAGCTTCTGTACACTTCCCAATGCGCATCATTGCATCTCATATAGTAATCTACGATTTAAATTTATCTTCGTGTACGAATTGCTTTGTCTCGCAGTTAAATTTTTATCATACATTTTTTCATTAAGGTTGTGAACTAATTTTTACGCTAATCCTTCTCGGGTTAAATGTTGCAGAAATTAATAAGCATAAGTGAATGTAAATATGTATATGCATACTCGATGATGCACCTCATTACTTATACTAATGAGTACAAAACTGTAGCAGTCCCGTGCTTAAGAATAGCATCAAGGTAACACAAAGTTTCGGAAAAGATAAAAATCGGAGGGCTTCTAAATGGCGGAATATCACGGAAACGTGACGTACAGTCAAGGGATGAACTATATACGCCTCCCCTACCCCGAGCAGACCCCAGCTCGACTTAGAGCCCGCGAAATCGAACGCGCGACCACCCTCTGGAAACTCTTTCCCGTCTCGTAGCAGCCACCAGATGCATTAGCGCACAATGCCGTTTCCCTCGCGCGATTAATACAATTTGCGACGCCGGTCCCATTCAGGCGCATGCAGCTGCATGTGCAGCAACGCGACGTAGCCGAACGGGACGACAGCGGCGGCGGCGGCGGCGACAGCGCCGGCCGCGAGATTCGGAGCGGTTCTGAAACGGTTCCCGGTTCACGTTTGTGTTTCAGGAGGCGGCAGTTCCGTGTCGGGCAGCCCGACGACGGGTTATCTCGGCGGCATGGGCGGTGGGGGTGGCGGTCACACCCCCGGGAGCTCGAGCCCCGGAAGCGAGATGTCGCCTCAGCACAACGAGAGCCCGCCGGCACCCTCCTGGCCGGGTGAGATGAAGCACCATCCGCATCCACACGCGCCGCCCCACTCCCATCATCACCCGCACACGGCCGGGCATCATCCACCGCCACCGCCACCGCCGCCACATCACGCGGGTTACATGCCGCAGTACTCCTGGTACCAGGCGGACCCCAACCCCGGACTACTCACGTAAGTGCTGCTTCTTCCGATCGGATCGACGCGTTGTCTTCGAGAGCTAGATTAGACTATGAGATTGAAACCGATGTTAAGGGGATCCTAAAGCCGTCTGTTTTATCGACATTCTTTGTTAGAAGTAATCTTTTCATTGGCTTTATAGAAATGCAAAACTCCTTTACGAAATTAAAGTACGCAGCAAAATCTAAACTGTGCTGGTCGACTTTATATCAAACATGAAAAAATTTTTAATTTTACTAACTTTTCGTACACTTGACGACAATATTTGCTTGATACAAGAATTCTACAATAAATATATCTAAAATGAGACCAGCATACTCTAGGGACAACATATAAGAACAATATCGTGTAACTGGAACTAACAAGGGGAAGATATAGGTCCGTATGCTGGGATTTGGCTAGATTTTAAATATGTTGTTCTACATCCTCCCCAATAATAAACGGTGCAGTAACTCTTGCCAATGGACATTAGTTTAGAAATAAAATTATTTTTAAATGAGCCACGTGTGTAATCTACCGAGTCGATAACACGTTAAATTTTTTAATTTAGACACGTGGTCGGGCTAGTAAGTCGAGCGACTAGAATGCTGGAGGTCTCGAGTTCGAGACCGGCTTTTTTCCATTTAGTTTATGGTAATATATATTTTTTTGTATATATATTAATGCTATATTAATCCTAAACAAGTTTTTATTTCACGAATTTGCATATTATCTGTGGCAAGGGTTATTTTTATTTAATAAAACATAATATAATTCACTAAGAAATAAGTTTTATTAATATTATGTAATATTTGTAATTCCTGTCTTATCGACACTGGTCGAGTTCGCCAGCGGCTTTAGGATTCCCTTAAGTAGCTCAGAACGTTATTCGAGGTTGAAAACGATCGCCTAAACTACATATCATATCTATATTTCGATCCTTATAGCGATGCTATTCGGAGAATAAAAATAATCGTGTACGAGATGAATCGTGTACAAAGATATCGAACGTCTATCGCGTTTCACGTACAACGAGAGAACAGAGTTCTTTAAATGTCTGCATTTGATAATAGCTTTGTCATTCTAGCTGCTATAACTCATATCGGCGATTTCTGCGCGAGCATAATTGAATAGTACTTCGATACTCAATCATAGACATTTTCAATTTGAAATTAAAGTGCGACGTGTCAATCAGCGTGCCTCAACGCAAACTGGTACTGCCAGTCACGTGTCCCCTTGGGACATGTTGGACGTTTCTCCTATTCACTGAGAACCAGCATGACACGATAAATTTACCTCACTCGCCTTGCCGTAATATTCATCGCGCTGTGATTCCGGAAGCCTCAAAGTTACCGCATATCTCTTTAATAATATAATAACCGCGAGGACCGCGTCAAGTATACGTGCCGCACAGTCCAAGCGTGAAAAGCACACTTGTGCGGCACAGATAAATGTACGTACAAAATGCCGAGAGACGCACTTCGGTGCGCGCTTAATTTGAAACGAATTCAAGTTAATTGATTAACTAATAAGAACATTCTTCAAGTCGCCAGCAGTAATTAATAACTTCAGTGTTTTCTCGACCACGTCTGGCATTTTTAATAATATACAGAAAATTTATTGCGAAAAATTATACCTCAGCCAGAATTTTGTGTACGGTACCAGTTTGATGAGGAAATAGCCTGATATTATAAAGTAGTGCGCTTAATCTTTTCGAACTTTCGGCAAATCTCTCGCCACAGCGTTTTCTAATAGAACGATCATCTGTGCCTTTTGCAGGGTATGGCCAGCGGTTTAACGAAGATGTCCCTTGAACTGAGTTCAGGTGAGCCACCCCTTCGTCGTGCCGCGAACGTATCCCAGCTGTCTCGCCCCAAAGTGTGAATATGTGTAGCGCCTCTCGTGAGGAAAATTGAATGTTAATATTGTTTCTAATCGTATAACGAAACCCGCATGCCGGTATCCGTGCGGGCCGTCCGTCGAAGTGAGAGAGCGGTACAGAACAGTGCGACGTCGTGTGTGATACACGCCCCTTAGCAAAATATTAATAATAATATTAATGAGACGAGAGAGAAATGCAACCACGAATGCCAATCGGCGACGATATGGACGACACTTCTCAAAGCTGACGGAGGGGACCGACGCCCAGGGTTCCCAGCCAACGTGGACCGTCGACAGCGGCGTCGCGAAGAATCGGAAGTCATGGACGATCTGTGCATCGAGTGACTCTTGACTGATTGGTGTGACGTTGCTTCGGTGAGCGTCGCTTTCGTTGTGCCGCGAGACGTTTCCTCCTCGAGCTGGAATCGACGTTAGTTGGAGGAAGAACAGGAGCGACATCGTCGTGCGGTGAAGTAAAAAGTACGTTGTAAAAAGGAAGGGTGATAATAACGAGGTAACAGCGATTTATGATCTGAAATCGCCGATAATCAACCCGTGACCGTTCGTGATGCGAGTTCTCTAAGGACGACGTCGTTCATTGATGATCTTCAAGTTCGATTTACGAGTTGGAGGGTACTTGTAACGCTTCGCGCATGATTGAGTGATTGTCACGACTGTAACGCTTTTCGTGTTTGGCAAGTAATCGTTGTCGCAAAAATGAGAGTCGCGAGGAACCTTTTTTCCCGGGGAATAAAACGTTCTCCGGCTTCTCTATATGTCTGTTCGTGTCGACCGTCGTGATTGCGTGCATCGGATCTAATTTGATTACTACGGTTAATTATAAGCAGAGATTGCCTCCGAGTAATTGTTTTCATTGTGAAAATGTTGTTGTCCGCCGTTTGTCGAGCGTAAAATTGCATACCGAATTTAATCGGTGCGGTTAATCAAATAAACAAGTTGCGCGATACAATAATTTCCCCACGCAAAAAAATATTGACTCGACGTTATCATCAATCAATATAATTAGATATTGATTGATTTTATTCCTACGCATACCAAAAACCTCGAATTTACAATCACATTTCCTTTGTATTTCTTATTTTTATTTATTTATAAAATTTATCGCCTGGTTTAATATTGAAATGTCTTACAATTTAATTTTACTTGATATTCTTTACTTAAAGCATTGCCCCTTTTATTCTCACACACATTTGCTCTCAGAATAAATTCATAAAATTTAATTCAATCCTCATTCATACAATTTTAGCGCTATTAAGAATTCAAATCGGTATTGATGAATGAACAATTTGCTAATGTGACAAACAAAATTTATTTTCTGGGATTTATGCTCGTGCGAGACAAAGCATGGACTCGTATAATTACCGTTATGTCCGAACGTAACAAGTTTTGATGATTACCGAGACTAATGCGATGATATAATAATGACGATAATGATATTGCAATTTGAAAAATGGTCAAGAACGCAGATCAGATTCGAGATCTCTGGCCGACGTCCGGCGCTCGTCTCTGATAATCATGTTCGGGCTAAACGCAACAAACTCCGGCGAACAACGGGACCAGGTCGCGCGATTCTTTTCAGTGCCGCTCGGCCGACCCGATATTTTCGTCACCTTTCCGAATCCGGCCAGTCTGGCACAATCGTGCATCTCTAAAAACCAATTTCTATCTCCTCGCAAATGTCAATTGCCGATGACGTTAGGCCGGTCGATCCTTTGTGACAGTTACCCAACGACCCGCGAGCGCGGCTGACCCACTTCGTGCTGGATCTCGCGCGATAGATGGACGAGAAGAGCGACAGGGCTGGCGGAGGCCTCTCCGGGAAGATGGACAGAGGGAAGGCAGGGAAACGGCGGGGAAACGAGAGACAACGTTGCATAAACTCGTTGAGCAGTCGTTCCTCAAGGCGGTTGGAAGTAATGAAATCCTAATGACATTTTCGTGAGTCAAACGATCTCGGCAATCACGGTGGCTCGCTGTAATCACCGGTCCCTCCTTCCCGGATGAGGCAACTGGCCGGAGGCCTCCTCCGAAGAGGAGAATAATACGCGAGAGACGAGCGGAGAAACGAACAGCTAGAGGAGCGAGCTCTGGAAAAAAAAGTCATTATCTCCGTTGGCGACGCGCGGAATGCCAGTGATGTTCGAGTACATTAAGAGCTTCGGAAAATCCATTCTAATTTCAATCTCGTCGATCGGTCGTCCCGATTGCAGTCTCTTTCGTAGTTCTTGTCCGATACGCGGTCCGCTTGATTTTCCTTCACTCGCAGCATTTGACACAGTGGGTCGACGATCGCGAATTTTTATCTTAAAAATATTTATTTATTTGTAGATTTGTCCGCGAGGAAGCGTCACTTTGTTACATTTTGGGAAAAGTTTCAAATTATAAAATCAACAAACCGGAAGGGAACTTGAGTAAATCCAACGGTAAGCGAAACGGAACGATTTGCCGCCTCTCAAACTATTGCCCTCGCGGTCTGCTTGCACACTATCGAGGCCTCCTCTATAAGTAGCGTCTCCCATTCTTTGTTTCCGTCACAAGCCATGCTCGAATTCCGTCGGAGTCGCCGTTTCGTGTTCGCGGGTACAAACGACGCGGCGGGCTGTTTTACGCTGTTTCCTCTTCGCCATCCTCCGTCGGCCATGCCAGGTCACCCTTGCCATCTTGCGTCGCACAGTATCTAGCTTTCCAAGAGGCGACGGCAAACCGCAAAAACGACGGCTGCGGCTTGCAACCGCGGGAAACTGGGAGGGTCGGGCGGGCCCCACCGCTGACCCAGATCCACGGTCTCGTCAGCGCAACAATGGTCGTCGTCTCATGAGAACGCGTGGTGCCGCGCAGTTCCTGTCCTTCCTGATTCTGGTCTTTTTCCTTCGCTCTGATTGTTGCCGTTCGGCACATGTCGGTCGCGATGTGCCGGGTTCTCGGTTCCGCGCACCCCGGCTCTCTCTCTCTCTCTCTCTCTTTCTCTTTCTCAAGACCGCGAAAGAGTTAAACGCAATTTCTCAAACTCGCGTCTCTCAGTATACCAAGTCGTCGCTCGACATTGGAAACTTGAAATCCTTCATTTCCGCAGACGTTTATCATGACGCACGATCTCCTGCGAGTATCTCGTATCTCCGACGAGACCACTGATCGAAATCGGACATGGTCCCGCCGTTAACCCGCAATTAATTGCAATTAAACGTCACGA